GTTTCCCAATGTTGAGAGATTTACTTTCAGAATGATGCTTTAATTATTGTCCTGACCTTCACAATAATTATCTTGTACTTTAATCATTTAATATCTGAGTTTACACTTAACCTCAATCTATTTGATAATATTAGTGGAAAACTTATATCTACTTTTATGGTTATCATAATAGTAGATGCTAATTGTAAAGTCTGAAGTTAAAAGTTCAGAGTTAACAAAATCATTATGATGTAATGATATAATAATGGTTTTGTTGTTAATTTTTTTCCTTAAAAACTAGTGCCATCTATATGCAGATATTTTGTATCCTCTTCAAGACAACAGACTTTCCATTAAAATCTGATCTTTACATTAAAGAGATAAAGAAAAAAGTCTAAAAAATGAAACTGAAAATCTTTAAATATAATTTCTGAAATAATTTTTTTTTAATATACTGGATTTATTGTGCCTACTTTGCAAAAAGCATTTTATTTTGTTTTACTTTTTAGATATTTATTAATATTTTTTAATTTAATTATAATATGACTTATAAACTAAAGAATTATTTAATATAGATTGAATAAATTAATTCTAGGTTATTCTAGTTTGTACATAGCAAAAAACAAGTTTTAGTAATTGTAAAATGATAAATCTTAGGACCATACATTATTGAAACTCTTATATATAGAAGCTGTAAAAAGAAGAATCCTTAATTGGATATTTTATTATAACTGAAAAGGGAATTAACTTACAAAACTTTTATTTTGATAAATTTAAAAAATAAAAAATATTTTTTCCAGTAGAAAAGTGAAAAATATTTAAAGTAAATAAACAACTAATAATATAATTATGCAAAAATCAATATATTAAAATTATGAGTGATATTCATATTCCATAAATTCTTTAGGCCAAGGGATTTGAAAATGCATACCACTGGGCTATCCATCTATGCATTACCTCTCCTTTAAGGAAGAGGACAGGGTTATTACCTGGGGACACTTTAAACACAACCTTGTGTCACATTCCACTCAATGTAGGCATACAGCTAAATACCTGTTCTACAAAATTCTTTACTCTATAAGAACACTTACATTGGTAAAATTTTTCTATGGATAATAGAAATGTTATTATTAGCCTATATCTAAACTGGCTGTATACAACTGCTTTCTAAGATCAATGATTAAAAATGGCTTTGAATGAGCGAAGCCTGTAGATGTTGATGAAGACCATCTTTCTTTGAAAATTGTGAACTGGTACTACAGAATGACAAACAAAGAACTGTACCAGATAACAGAATCTACATCACTTGAGGACTTCGAACAGCAGCAACAACTAAAATGGATAGCACATGTAACTCAGAGAAAATAATGACATACTTAAAATGCTGACTTTCCACACAGTATTTCAAACAAAATGTTAGGAAGGAAGCTCCCATCAAGGCTGTAAAGATTGGTAACAACTACTGGAGAAATATATTTTCCTGCAAAATTGTTTTGAGAGAAAGATTTTATAAATTTTAACTGGCAACAGCACTGACTGCTTGATCAAGGATTGCTGAATGTTTTCTTATAAAGAAACTGCTAATATTACCATTAGCATTAGATAAATTCAACTTTTCTCTGGTTATTGGTTTAATTAAAAATGACATTAGTCACATGAAAAGGAACACTAATCATATCATCTCTATGAAAATATTTAACCTTAATTTTTCTATTGATTTTAATCTTCATTATCTGTCTATATCTCTGAGACGAGGTATTATGATTACTTGTATTATTTACATTATTCAGACTGTTATCCTCATCTTCATTGCCATATTCACAACATTTCAGTTACTGTACACTCCAGCCTTCTTCAGGTGATTGGAATTTCAAACCGAACCCTTTATTTGGTCCATCAGAGTAGATTGTTCTAGTTCTACGTGCCATGTCCTCAAGGACACATGGCCCAGTGGATAAAGATGTTGGTTAGATCCAGTGACTAGACCCAAAGAGTTGTGAGTTCAATACCAGGCCATGCAGTGGTGAACCAAAAACTTGGAGAGTTGAGCTAAAGGGAAATAACTGAGATATCTGGAAAATTATTAGGAGGATTTGAAATAAACATAATTAAGTAATTCAAGACAAAGAGGTAACTAATTCAACTCGATATAGTGCTGCTATGATTATTTCAAATCCTCCTAATAATTTCTTTCATTTGCATGATGATGTGAAAAGCAGCACTATATTGAGTCTAATTAATTACCTCTTCACCACTAAGACCCATTGGTACAGTTGGTCTGATGCTTGCATCATATCATAACTGTCCGGGTTCAATTCTCAGTAGTGGATGCACACTATTGATGAGTCCCAAATATAGGATGAAACAGCCGTCCAGTGCTTTCTGCAATCACAATTAATGAATTACTTAATTATGATTATTTCAAATGCTCCTAATAATTTCTTTCACTTGTATATCCTTTCTTGAACCAGCTTCTAATGCTTTGGATGAGCGCCTTGGGGATAGAAGACATGGCTTGTGGGGGCAGTCTGTTAGGTTAGGGAAATGCAGATGAGTTACACCACAGAATTTATGAAGAGTGGCACTATATCGAGTCTAATTAGTTACCTCTTCATCACCGAGGCCCATTGGTACAGTTGGCATGACGTTTTCCTCATATCGTAAAGGTCCGGGTTCAATTCTCGGCTGTGGATGCACACTGCTGATGAGTCCCAAATGTAGGACAAAACGGCCATCCAGTGCTTTCTGCATTCTGTTGAGGATTATTCTAAACTTGATGAATTACTTAATTATGATTATTTCAAATCCTCTTAATAATTTCTTTCACTTATATACATATATATGAAAAATTGACCAATGAAAATTACGTTCTACATTGATGTGTAATTAAAATCCATATTTATCAGTTTCTAAATGAAAAAGTCTCTAGACAACACAGGGTGACAAATGCTTCCTTTCATATTCCATTGGTGAGATGTAAGTTTCACTCGAGCAGCTTCTTTGCTGCTGTTTTGTGGAACCAACTGCCAAAAGGATATTTCCCCAATCACTACAATCTTAGTCTAGGGTTTACTGTTATCTTCCCGACACATCCCCTTAAAATGTGCCTCTTACTTTGTAACCATCTACCTGGAGTGGGCCTTAAGCAGGGTGAATGTCATTGTATAAAAAAATATATTTAAAATACATGTGATCATCATTATTCTGTGAAGTAAGTTGTCAAATTGGTAATTTACTTTGGGTCTTGTGTGGTTGGCTAAAAAAAGTTAACACTTTTTAAGATTGCATGATGACAATGCAGTATTGTCTTTTATAACATTGTCTGTTTGTATCTCTTTATATGTTTGCATGTTCGATATCTGTGTCTGTCTTTTAGTCTGTCAGTCAGATTGTTAGATGGATTGAAAGCTGTCGTTAGTTCCATAATTGCATACATAAATTAATGTCCTCAAAGTCAATGTATATCACAAATATTATGAGGTGATTAACATAGTGTTATGGTCTGGTTCCTTGTACCATGGTGATAGTACAAGGTAGAACCAATAAAGAAGAACTCGAATACGGATATGGAATAACAGATATATTACAAACAGGAATATATACAGAGAGGTAGAAAAGTGTTAGTACGAACAATCAGGTTTAGTAGTAATTGTCTGAACATGACTCTGTTCCGGACTGCCTCTGACTCGACTGATTGACTCACTCTGATTGACTGACAGACAGACTCCTGACGGACTTCACTCCAGACTTCAGACGGAACTCCCTGCTTCCTCTTGAGGTGCAGTATTTATTATGTATAGAATAGTCCATTATATTATTATGGGTAAGGTCCCATAACACATAGTAAAAATGTCAGGGAATTTTGTAAAATTTGATCAGGGGAAATCCTGGAAAAGTCAGAGAATTTAGTTTGCACAACTCATTGGTCACACTGGAACAGCAGAGTTTATCTTAGTTTAATAGAAAAATATATTAGATTGTCATAATAATTTCCATTCTTGTTTATTAATTTTACTCTTCAAAAAATAAATGACAAAAATATTTTACTGAATTTATATATTCACTGCTATTAACAACGACTTGTTGCCACTTATCAGGCAGCTTTTCAATACCTTTTGAGCGAAATTCTGCAGGTTTTGATGTGAAGAATTTTTTGATGAAATCTTGAATTTGGTTTAGAGGAAGTTTTCCCTATCCATGTGTTTTGCAGTGATTGAAAAGATAATAAACAATTGGTGAAATGTTAGGTTAATATTGTTGCTGTATATTGGTTTGGGAATTAAAGGGTACTTCATACTGATGTTTTATATAATTTTTATTTGACACTGTGAAAAATGTAATGCCTTGTAGTCTAACACAAGCTAAGGTGACTCTGGTACAGATCACTCCTATTTTGAGTAGGCCCAACTCTGAATTATTTTTAGCCGTTAATGATCCAAATGCACTTTGTTGTGTTCTTTCACTGTATGTTTATGTTATTGCTGCTGCTTCTGCTGCCTTTAACTCTTTTTCACAGCATTGATGCAAATAATACACATTTACAAATAATAAAGGAAACAAATCTATGGCGGTGTCTCAGCAGCCATTATAAATATGGCAGTTAAGTTAGAACAGACCAACCGAGTTCCAAAATCTTTTCCTGTGTTATTCTTGTGCATAGTCTTGGGTTGTCATGGTGAAGAACAATATTTTTCCTATTCACAATCACAGGGAGCTTTTCAACCAAATTTTTATGGACACATTGCAGCTGCTGTATGTATAAATGTGCATTTAGTGTCAAAGGACTGTAAATGAATAATACCCTCCACAAACACACCATTGCCTTCCTTCTTTTGGGATCATTTGTGGAGATTCATCCTTGTTAATCCACTGATTTTATGTTGAACGTTTCTATATATAACCCATTTTTTAATATTTTTTATGATATATTAGGGAAAAGTTATTTAGGATGATGCATTCATCATCACAATTGGTTCCCCAAAACAGAAGTTACTTATAACTCAACCTAATATACATATCAAGTTGAAACACCACTTCCCATATGATCACAAAAGTTAAGCAATATCAAGCCTGGTCAGTACTTAGATGGGTAATCACTTAGGAGTACCAGGTACTGTAAGCTTGGATTTGTGGGTGGGGTTATGAATAATGGTTTGGAATTGTTAACCAGAGAGCCAAGTTCCAATTCCAGTTGGGTTCATTATATTCACTTATGTGAAAATACTGTTGGGAAAGGCATGAATCTACCTCTTCTCCTTCCAGATATATGTCAATTATTAATACATGTATCACTAAAACATTATTATTCAAAAAAAAAAAAAAAATTCTTACATTCAAAATGAATAAAACCCCGATGGTTATACTATATATGTACAACATTGCTTTCCTTCTATGGTGCTAAGTTTTGGAGTTATTTATGAAAATTTATCCTTGTCTGTCTCCCGATTTTACATTGAACTTTGCTGTATGTTACCCATTTTTCATCATTTGTTACATATTTAATGTATGGTAAGTTAGGATGATATATTTATGTTTACAATTTCTTCTTACTCAACCTAATAATAATTGTTGTATCTGAATAATAAATGGTAATTATTTGTAAGTAACACCTCAACATGTGATGTAATGGAATAACCAGTCACCCCCATGAATGATTACACTATAGGTAGTAAGTACCTATAAAGTCAACCGTCTACGAGAGACTCAGGAGAGAGGGAAGTGAGAGCAAGACGACACAAGCACGTCTGACCTTCCAACTAGTGGCACTCACTACTAGATTGAATTGTGTGTATAACTATACCATATTTCATATTGTACTTGTGTACAATAAACCTTTCTTCTAGTATCCACCTGGTATTATGTGTTTATTCCCCTAGCATGGAATATAACAGCATGCAATAATGAATGTTAGATTAAAATATTTTTTGGTTTTTAAATGACCGACTTATTTTCTATAAAATGAAATAATTACTTGTAAACTTAATTGTTATTCAGTTATTTAAAACAAAAAAGTAAAAAAAAACATGATTGGCATTTTCCATATTGCAATGACTTTGAATTGAATTTTCTTTTCAATCATCTAAATTTGTTTCATTTATATGGATTCACCTTTCTTATTTGATGTTATTTGCATGTAAGTGAATATAATAAATCCAACTGGAATTGGAACTCAAGCCATTATCCATTACATCACTTGCACATCCAAGTTTACAGGACCTGGCATTCCCAAGTAGTCACCCACCTAGGTACAGACCAGGCTCAATATTGCTTAACTTTGGTGATTGTACATGAACTGGTAGTTTCAATGTGATATGGCCATAAGCCAAATAAACATTTAAGTTATTTACCAATTTATCTTATACTTTTTTCACCAACAGAAAACAGTAGATTAAGATTTTTCCAAGGTTGGAGTCAAAGATAAGTATTTGTTTTGTTCTTTTTCTTTTTTTTCTTTTATGAAAAAAAAACAGAGAGTGTCTTGAGTAAATGTCACAATGTTTGTATTGTAGGAATATTTTGAAAGAAAACGACAGCATAAAAAAATATGGGCTTTTCAGTCTCCCAAGAAGAAATATGGAATCAGTCAAGATCTTCTGGCTCTGCATACTGTCAATACTGCTTATTCTGGTATGGTTTTTGGTGAGATAATACATTAAAATAATTAAAATATTACTATGAATTAAGGCATCAATTTTGCCAAAAATATCAAAAAGATATTGGCAAATTCTAGCATACATAATCGAAAAAAAAAACAGTTTGTTAAAAGGATGGTTTTTCTCTCAACACTGCTATTACTGTGCACTCACATGGCAATTTTTATTGTTTTAAAAAGCTATTTTTAGAATTCTGATAAAATCCAAACATATGAAACTGGATTTATTCATCATTTTTTTTTATCAAGAGTTGACAACAAAACCTTAAACACAAACAAAATTTATTTTATTAGATTAATTATAAGAATTTTATATTTACAAGTTTATAAAAATATGTGAACCATCTACAATGCAATATTTATTATTTACCATATAAATAAATAATATGACAAATTTCTTTACTCATAAATTTATAAAAATATCAGTGAACATGCGAACAAGAAAAATTAAATAAACACATAACTGAGTAACTGTATTTATAAATTTTGATTCATTCAATTTTTACAGCTTACCAACCCTTTGCAGGTTAGTTAAAGACAAAATATTTTTAGATTGTAAGAATTTTGTAGCAGAAATAATAGTTTTTATGGTACCTACCTACATGGGAATGAACTCTTCCTCCTTCCATAAATACCAACCTGTGAGACTTCCTACAGGAGGCAGTCAAGACACAGTGTAACCTGACAGTTTGGACGGACACTTCTATCTGCTGACTAATCACACTCTTACTTTGTATATATCTGTAATTTCAATACACTTGTTTAACCTACCTTTTTCTTCCTGTGTCTTTCTTTCTGGCCCATAACAGTCCACAACAACTTTAGTGAAACAAGTCTTATAAATTAACCTATAGCAAGGGTATTTGCATGTGAGTGAATATAACAAACCCAACGGGAATTGGAACTTGGCTCTCCAATTAACAATTCTGTACCATTATCCATTGCACCACCTGCACATCCAAGCTTACTGGTATTCCCATGCAATCATCCATTTAGGTACTAACCAAGCTTGATATTGTTTAACTTTGGTGATTTTACGGTAATCAGTGTTTCAACATGATGTGGCCATTTTGAAAAATACATTTTCTGAGCATTTCTTTTATTTGCACTCACCACATAAATTCACTAGAATAGTTTGTGAGCATCTGGATTTATACTTTTTTTTCTAAAAGATTTTACAGCAAAAATGTTAAACACTACCAAGGGAGTCAAAAGTGTATAAAGTAATAGTGGTGTCAAGGGAATAACCTTTCCTTTTGCAAGCATGAAGGTTAACCTTGCCAAAGTGACTTTGTTTATTTAGAATAGTACAGCTAATTCAAATGGAATTCAAGATGAAGTGGATAGTTTGACAAAATATAAAGCAATATATTGAGGTGTTACAAAACTCCACTGACCTACTAAATTACCTATCATATAGATCAAAGCTCAAATTAAATGAGTAGACATTTTCTTTCAGAGCATTTATCTCTTTATACTTTGCTTTAGCAACATTTTGTCATTCTATTCTCTATTTCACTTTAACCTTTACACTACACAGTTTTATTTATTTTCCTATCGTGTACTTATTTAAATAGGCATAATGTTCTTAAGTTGGAATATTAAAAAAAAAAAATCATCCATAATCTTTGTTGTTTAATTGAATATTGATTACCTGTAAGTATATATTTCAGAGATACATTTATTTTAAACATTTCACCCCAAGCAAGGTGTTAAAGCCACTAAAACACAAGAGGTTACTGAAGATGAAAGGTAGTAGAGTGAAGGAAACTAAGAAAATGTTACTGAGTGGAAAGGACAATAAAATAAACAGGATTCAAGGAGACAAAAGGCGGCAATTGATGATGCATTTAAATTTTTGCAGTTGACTGGAAAGCAAGAAGCTGAAAGTGAGTTCCACAAGTGAGAATTTCAAGAACAGAAATTATTAGAATGAAACTTATGGTCACATCTAGCAGTTTCAACAGTAAAATGATGAGACCTAACTGCCAATCTAGTACTATGCTTAAATACATGAAGTTGGGGTATCAAAGAGAAAAGCTCATCACAACAATTGCCATAAAAATATTTGTAGAAAAAGCACAGGGAAGCTATGTTATGGTGGTGTGAAAGTGACTGAACCTAAGATGCTAGGTTGTGAATGAAATACACTCTTTTATAAAATTTATTTTGGAAATGACCTGGCTGGAATAAATGGAGATTTGATTACTTTCTGAAGTTTCACAGTTTTATTCCATATATGTTTTTTAAATATAAAGAAAAATATATATCTTGAATAATAAAAATTGAAGATTCACTCAACATACTAGTCTGGCTATCAAGCTACACACACATACAGACATAAAAATGAGAGACATACAGATATAGAAATCCCAAGAATAGCCAGGCAACTAAGCTGGGAACTGTCTGTCTGTCTCTTTTTTTATATAGGATTTAGCAACTAGAATTGAAAATCTTAATGGTTGAAAAATCTGAAATATCAAAGAAGCAGCATATATTAGCAAAAATATATAGTTTATGCAATATATGCACTTAAATACTTATATCTTCTTTTTTTATGTCTTAAGGACATGAGTGCTCATTGCTGTCCTTTGTAGCTATAAACTAAATTTGACTCCTTACTTTCCCACCCAATCCCTGTTCTACCATCCATTTACACAAGCATGTTAGGTAGGTTACTCAATGTTTCTCTCTCTCTCTCCCTCTTGTTTGCAATAAGTTCTGTGGGTGTCAAATTCTCTAAGCCTTCTTTTCCTCATTATATGTCCCAGAAATTTCAACACGTTTATATAGGAATTGAAAATTTTAAAAAAACTATGAATATGTGTAGATCCAAAGGATGCCTTCTTATCTACACATCTAAGTTTTCTGCTTCTCATAAAAGATATAATTAAATAAAAGATGATATTATCCCTTCTTCAGGTTTGTCTTGTTATCTCCATTGTCTTTTCCTTTCAGAAACAAGATCCTTTCACAATGATCATCTTAACCTTTGAGCTATAGAGTCATCCATTTTTCCATGACCCTACCACTTCATATATTATTTCCACTTGTGTAGGCCAACATTTTGGAAAATAGCTTTGTCAGTTTTGGAGTTGAGCTTGTCTTTGGGCAATAAGCTTCTACTAACTCAAGAAAATAGGAAGGAGTAAATGGGAAGTATTTATCTGTGTGCCCATATGTTGCAACAGAATGTAAGACATGGTTGAAATTTAATTTCAGAAAAGCTGCACAAAAATTGTTTAAGCCCACTCAGCACGACCCCTTTTGAAGACATCTCAGGCTCTGTAATGACACCAGCCCCCTTTCGAAAGGAGAGGTACTACCTGGTGGGGATGCCCCCCTGGGGCCTGGGCTAATATTATTTTCAACGACATAAGTGACACCTATGACTGTGCTTTCAAGAGGTTTTTTCAGAAAAGATGTCAGTCCCAATGAATATATATATCAGATACAGCAATCATAGTTTTTGAGATACCATTATAGATACTAAGTTTCACTAAATTAAGTACAGGGCTCTACTCTAAACTTACAAGCTATCTGTTGTTTTCCTCATCTGATAACCGTTTTTCTGGAGAAGGTACACCTGAGATACAAATAATTAATCCATTAGTGCCCACCATAAAATCTGGCATTAATTATAAAAATAAAAATCTTGTATTAATTATAGGTTTCTAAAAAAAACTTGGTACTAATTATAGGTTTATACAAAATGTCTACTAATTATTGGTTGCAACATATAACCCCTTAATGCATACTATCCCCAAAATGTAATAGTGGATATTAATGGACTAATTACTGGAATACTATCTTTCAATGCTTTTTTTAAATGGTATTTTGTTAGTTTTTCAGTTATTATAAAGCAAGCTATAGTGATTTATTTCTTTTAATTTACTAAAGAGATTAAATTTCACTGAACCAGAAAATATTGTGTAAATAAAAAAAAGGAATTTCTTTTGAAATGATCAGATTTCCTATATAACTGAAAATCAGTCTAATTTAAAAATAGAAAAAAACAATTAAATATACTAAAAAACCCTGACAGGAAGAATTGCAAATAAAATTTGTTAAATAAATGGGGGGTTTGACGCAAAGAAGTCCGTGAGGGCTTTGCGCAAGTCTGCTTCATTGGTGAAGGATTTCCCATGAAGATGATTATCCAGGGAGTGGAAGAGGTGGTAATCGGATGGCGCAAGGTCAGGTGGATGGCACAAAATCTCCCACCCAAGTTGCTGCATGGTATCCCTGACCACTCGCGCAACATGTGGCCTGGCGTTGTCATGAGGGAAAAGCACACCTTTGTGATTCACCAGTGCTGGCTCCTTCTGGTGCAATGCCTGTTGCACACATTTCAATTGCTGCGAGTATAGGTCTCCAGTGACCATTTGGCCCATTGGTAGCAGTTCATAATGAACCACTTGACCACCAGACACAAAGCATAATCTTGCGTGGGTGCATAGGCGGTCTTGTGGTGTGAGGGACAGCATCCTGAGGAGACAACCAATGTCTGGAATGCTTGGGAGTTTCATACAGAACCCACTTTTCATCACTGGTAAGCACTCGATTGAATAAGGATGCGGTATGGTGGCAAGAAAGCAGTGATACGCAGGCTGCCACTCATTGTCCCTTACGGACCTCCAACAGCGTTTGCGGAACCCACTTGCTCAGT